CACGCCCAAAAAAGCATAAAAAGAACATCGTCCGCCGTAAATTCCTCTTAATGCCCGGGTCTCATTTCAATTACGGTTGAAGTCCTGAAATAAGATACAAGTCCAAATTAAGGTTCCTCACTGCCCCCCCTAGCCCAGGGCCTCTAGGTAAGAGGGCCACAAAATCTACTTCCCTCCACTGGAGTCATGTGTAACAGGCGTTCAGCACTAGTTGGAGTTGGAGTCACTCCACACTACCCCACCACGCGAACTCTCTCTGAACATCAACACATCAGAGCACGGACGGAAACACAAACCACAATGCACTCTCGCGCTACATATCGATCTACACGAGAACAATCCATTATCGACTCGATACTATCGAGCCAATCAAGGCCTTAATCGAATTCAAGACTTCCCTAATCTCCCTACGTTTGCATTCACCTTCGGGAAAAGATCTCCGACACACCGTTCCTCGCGCAACGAGTTGCATGACGATGCGTTCGCTCTTCGTCGTACTCGACGAAGTACCATATGCTTGACAAGCTCTCTCCAGGGGAATTCAGTGCAGCCTTAGTTGTCCAAGCTAGGACGAGCAATCCACAGTTCTGCTTCTCGACGTTCTCTTGCTGACATGGTACTGCGGTCACTGTAGTATAGCGTCGATACAACTGTCTTACTATCTCCAACACCTTTGCCGGAATGTAGCTGCCTCCGTGAACGGGGTCGAGGTAATACACTTCTGAGTCCCCAGCAGCAGACTCGTCATCCTGCAGCAGCAGACCGAAGTAGTTGTCGACATAAACAGACTGCACGTTCACCCCTCCCTTTCGCGACAGAACAGCTCCACTGAGTGGAGTCCACTCAAGCTGGAGGCGATCCTTCTTCGAACTGCCCGGGGAAGTGTCAGCGGGTGGATATTACCAGCCAGGATGTGACACTTGAGTACCGCGCACCGGTGTCCCCTGATGACGAACCTCCTCAGGCTTCTGTATATTCTGATGGTGGTCTATCCTCTTCAATCGTGAACTTATTTCACAAGACTGCTAACCATCGTTCCCAACCATCACCAAGCGCATCGACCGGTGAGGTTGAAGCTGCATCCCAAGGATCGGTGCCTCAGCGGCCGAAGCCAAACTCTCAGTGTTCGGCGGAGGAACCCAATGCATCAACAGAGGAGCTCGATGGATCGCCTGAGTGTAGGTCCCCGTCCTCAACCGCGTCGCCTAACTGGTTGGTACACGATACTCTACTTGGCGAGTTCCGTCTCAGTGTGCTGGAACGTCACGACTTAGCTTCACCTTGTACCGAAATTTCCGACATGGCTGTTGGTACCTGGATGGCCCTACTGTGTACTAGGTGCGTATGTTTGCTGCAGTTTCCTCCGATAACTCCAGCATCATTAGAGGTTATGAAAACACAGTTTGAGGGCATCCCGAAGGCTCCTAGCCTCAGCAGTGCACCTTTGATCATCCAACCCTTATTCGACCATGGAGCTAAGCATTTCGTCCTCGCCGTCAGGAGTCACGAGGGACTAGTGCTATATCTCGATAGCTCACTGGGTATGAACGCGATTCCTGGACCTATGCGTGAAGTGATTACCGCTACCCTCGGCAGAGGTACAAAGTGCGTATGCTTGTGCACACAACAGCAGACACCCGAATCTGCAAACTGCGGCCTCTTCACACTGGCGTGGGCGACAGAGTACGGCCTCCAACGAGCGACTGTCGATCCGGAGAAGGCCACCTACGACGAGAAAAAATGCGGGATCATGCGGTTCGTTGTCTGCAGGAGAAGAGACTAAAGCCATTCCCACGAAAACGTGGAAGGCCTGGCAAAAACAACCGCCTTCAGGGCCGAATGGATATCGAGCTGTAAGTTGGGAGTGTCAATCATACAGTTTCTTCACAGTTTCGTGTGTGTTATTATGAGTGTGGATGTTTCTGAGCGTGAACGTCTTCTGTTGCATTTCTCTGCCAATGTTCGTCCAGCTCAGTGTTCGTCCATAGGATTTGATCGATTGCGTGGGCGTGCGCTAACCTGTTCGTCCCTTTGATTGTTCGTCCATCTGATTCACAACCGGGAGTCGTGGAAAGCTGCAAACCCTGCCCGATTGTTGAGAAACAGCGCTCGCCCCATTAGTTTCATTTAGATATCGCTCGCCGCGGCGCATCGACTGACTTCGCGGTCGTAATGGGGATACTACGTTTCCATTCAGCTACTACTTACAACTTCCCTTACAATGTCTGCCAAATTCATACTGGCTGCAGCGCTTCTAGCGCTGTCTCGTGGCACGGAGACTTTAAAAAGAGTAAGGTGGGGTATGCTCACCTTGTTCAAAGCATCGGAGTTAGGTTTCCTTTGATCCGGTTGCTGATCCCAAAATGAACACCATCCTGGCCAAGATTGAACACGATATACACGATCTCTCCAACACTGAAAGTGTACCGGCGATTCCACAGGATTCATTCGATATTCCAGCTTCCCTCTTGGAAGAAAAGGATGGCAATGGTAAGTTTTCGATCAATGCACCACCTTACGAAGATTATTCCGTTCATACATCTAATGTATCTGTTGAATATTCGAAATCCCCACTTGGCCTCAGGCGTCGATCTTGAACAAACTCTACAGGGACTCGATACAGTTGCCAACAATCAGCAAAAGGTAAGCGAAAACACCTGACCGGATGACAATTATATCGGCTGTGGTCCAGTTGCTCCAGGATACGACCTCTCAGCTCACTGATATTCAGCACCATCTTGACTCTTTACTCACCGTCCATACGTGAAGACCAACCATGAATGTGGAATTCGAGGTTAATGTTGTCACAAACATTGATGGGTTTAGTTTTCCTCGACTTAGAAGAGGGAGGAGCCCATATCCTATGGGTCAGAGATTTTATGGGACATATACGGATCTTTGCGAGGCCAGAAACACGTATGCAAACCCGTGCATGATTACAGCAGGAAAATAATTTGTTAGTTGATCCTTCCCAGCACTGAGGAACGCGATACGGAGGGGAGAGTGGAGATTAGAACAAAACGAACTTGAGCCAGATGGCTACGGCTCAACACGAACTCATGCGTGCACACTATCACTAACTCATTATTAATTGCTTATATACTACGCTACAGGAGTCCCAAAGATCATCAAAAACCAAACCAAATATCTGTCATCACCACTGGTTGACCAACCGTTTCTGATCCAATGGTCGCTAACTTCCAGATCCGACCGAGCCCGGGATCTGGACACTTGTCCGACAGTATTGAACGCCCCTCCCCCGCTAAATCAGAGGTGGTGATCAACACCTCGCAGGAAATTGATCTCCTAGCCAAACCGCAGGTACTGCGATTATCGCAGTGCGACATGCGCATTCTGCAAGGGAACGCAGCTGAGTGTTTCCAAGAAATACACACTTTCGAAACACTGTGAATAACACGATTGTTGGCTACGGAGACATACTTGGAGTAGGATCCATACTAGCATTTATCTGAACTAGCGAAACACAAGATCCTTGGTTTTCACATCGCGCATGCATCGTATGTGTATCCATAAATACACTTGGATAGAGTGTACCTCAATCATCGCTAGAACTGGACAGTGGCGATTTAGATTCGGCTGTGGCTGGGATTTGCTGAGTACGTCTCTTACAATCGTACTTATAACTCTTGAAGAGAAGGAGATAAAAAACCAAACATATCATCCAGGGAAGACATGTGAGGATGATCATAGCTCTACTCAAGGCCTCAGCGTTCCTATGCCGGATGTCTAGTGACATCTCAGCAACAGGAACTGACATATGCTGATAATTGAATACTCGTTCAGCAATGATACCAACCATTGGTGGACCAAACAATGCTCCACAAGAACCCTCCAAGGCGGTGAGCCAAGCGATGATGCTGGCCCTGCTATGTGAATCAACGAGCTCGACTAGAATAGGACGATTGGTGGCTACGGCAGGCCATGCTGCTACTAGTCCGAAAATAACAAGGAGAGCAGCATAACTACCGTATGAAGAGGGAGAACGTGGAACAACGAAGAATGCTATAGCAAGAGTAGGGATACCAGCTGCGACGCTGCACACGGCAACGAAGGGGCGACCAAAATATCTCCACCGTCGTGTCGCCCAATCTCCTAGATTCCCACCTAAGACACTGCCGAGGATAGCTGCACCCATATATAGGACAATCAAGCTTCCCGCTGATCGATCAGAAAAGCCAATATATTGTAGCCACAAGGTGGTGAATGTAAAAGCTCCCCATGGTATAGTGCCAAAACAACCCTGGAGTACGATAACTACAAAGGACCGAACCTGAAAATCGGAGAAGAATCGACCGACCTAACCACTAGGGACTAGTTCTTACCTCCCGGAGGTAATAGAAAAGCTTCCGGTACTCTTCCGTGAGACTATCAAACCACGTTTGTGAGGGATATACAACCGGGTCTACTTTTATTCCTTCGTGCATGTCCGCAGCACCCCTAGGCGGTTCTTCAAATGTTCTTAGCAGCGCAACGACTAAGAAGGCACTCGTAGCACCAGTAAGTAAGAAAGTTAGCCGCCAGCCCATGAACCCTGGTACGATGGTGATGCCACTCAACCAGGTCCCAAATAAACTCGCGAAGATCTGTCCAAAAGAAGTGAATGACTGTATTAATCCAAAAGTCGATCCCCGGTTCTTTGAAAGGGATACATCAGCAACAATGGACTGTGATACCGGTATAATCGATGCCAGAGCAATCCCATTGAGACAACGTATGACGAATAAAACCCAGAATCCGCTGGCTGCCGAGGTTAGAGCGGTGAATATAGCCCAACCCCCCACTGCAGTCGTGAGAACAAGCCGCCTTGACATGGAGTCAGAGACAGCGCCCCATAGTGGAGCGGCAGATGCCTGCCAGAAGGCTTGACCCATGGCTAGATATCCCAACGAACTGGGAGATAGCCCAAGATCCATTTCCATAGCACGGTAGCATGAGGGTAGTAGAAGCATATCTGTACCCTCGATAGCGCATACCACATAGAGCAAGCGTCTGACATCTTCCCATCGAGTCTCGAATTCTTGGTCTGTCAGTGTTGAGCGGGTGAGCCCAGGTTCACAGGTCATGAGTGGGACTTTCTCTTCTTCGTGCAGACTTGGCACCGCCTTGCCACTGGGAGTACGTTGAATCATGAATCACGTGAAGCTACGTGGAGCGCTTCCCATACTTCCACATGAGGCCAATTAACAACACAGAGACTGAGACAATGATAGAAAAGACATTGTACAATGGGTACCGGCAATCACAACCGATCTACCACCAAATAATGTAGATTAATAATACAACGACATCGAGAATGAGATATCGGTACACAAGTAGCCCATCTTTCTGACACCTTGTCTAATACTCCAAGAGCTAATAATATTTGAGGATAGCTTCGGCACCATATTAGGTAACCTACAATTGTAGCCAGCTACATCAGATCCAATACATACTGACTCTAGAGATCGTCAAGACAAATCTTCACCGCAGCAGGTGCGTTAGAGTCTGTACGGAGCTTCTTCCCCTTATGATGGTGACCGTGCCCCGATGCGTTTCGCCTGGTTGATCCATCCGTTCGCACACTCTCTAGTAGAGACACTGACGGTGTTATACTGGACTGAGGCTGGAGGAGTGACTGCCCGGTGAGGGTGTTCGATTGTTGCATCTGGAATGGGCTAGAGGCAACATTAGCAGCTGCGTGTTGCTGTATCTCTTCCATTGAGTGAGCATAGGAGCAATGCTCCCCATAGCCACATTTACCCTCCATAAAATGCTTGCATAATTCAGTTTTATATCTCCTTGGAGCGGGAGGCTGAATAGATATTTGCTGGATACCCATCATTCCCATCCCCGCTGCAACTGGTGGTCCCATCGATGGGCCATTGCTGCCTGATTGGTTGTTAGCTCCATTATGACCAAGTCCAAGCCGATGTTGCAGTTCTCTAATACGACGATCAGTTTCGTCCTCTTCTGAGCTACTGCCGCTACTGTCGCTCCACGAAGAAGAAGAAGCGTCTGATGAATAGGACCGAGACCTACTATGATGATGACGTTTCTTCTCGAACCGTCGCTTCTCGGCTAGCCTTATATCATTTGCACTGACAGCACCTTTAGGCAGATCCCCTCCCGCACCAGCAAGTACCCCAGATACACCGCCTCCATAATATGCCATCTCATCGGGCCCGTGGGCATAATTGCAATAGGCGCCCTTCTGACATAACCCTTGTTGGAAGGCCTGACACATTCGTGTTTTATAATACGGATTATTAGCTGGGACACTTCCCATGGTCATAGATAAGCCACCTCCATCCATTATGCCGCCACCACCTGCTGTACTACTGAGGGTGACACTATCACCCACCCGAGCCGTTGGCATAACAGTGCCTGTATGAAGACCACCTATCAGGCCTCCACTAGGTCTACCACCGCCCGCTACGTTGGGACGAAGTTCCTGCGGACCATGAGCGTAGCTACAAGCCTGCCCACGAGGACAAGATCCAGATTGGAAAAGCGGGCACAATCGAGTCTTGTAGAAGGTACCATGTCCGGGAGGGACTGGAGCAGTCGGAGGTACGTAACCAGGGAAGCCTCGAGGCGACGTGACGCCGCCGCCGCCATCCATGGGTTGACCATCCCTCGAGCGGGAAACACTAGCAGGGCTCGATGATTTGCTTCTACGCCGAGAATGCGACGCAGAGCGTGATCGGTGGTGATGATGATGATGTCGGTGCTTTTTGTGTCGATCCTTCCTTCTTACAGCCACAGCAGGTCCCTGGGAAGGCGCGGGCTCGATCTCACTCTCATCGATGTTCGCATCATCGATCACGGGATCTGGATCGCCAGGCTTCTTGTACAACAGCTCCTTCGCCCAGTCCTTGCGCACAGCATACACCAAACTCTGCTCCACAAATTTCTGGAGTGTTTCGAGCTTTTGCTTCCGGGGATTCGCAGGAGATCTTAATCCCTCGTTGGTTGAGAATCGATCCCACAGGGTTTGCCACTGTGGATCGTTAGCATCCATCCCAAGTTTGATCAGTCGATACAGAAACCCGAAGGATTTCCAATCGATGGTCCGTCGTACCAGATGATCGGAACTGCCTTCTCCAACTATATTAGACGGAGATGAGATAGTCGTCCCACCCTGCAACACAGAGGTGGAAGACCCAGGAAGTAACTGTAAAATTCAAGTTCTACATTAGCTGCATGGGCAACCTACCTTCTGGCGTTGGGGGCCGAAGCTCGTAGGCCGAAATAGATTAGTCAAGCTATCCAAGTCCGAAGCGTCCTTCACACCATACTCAGAGGCCACGAAGTTGGCAGCAGGGACCTCAGTTTCACCATACTGAGAATACTAGCGGATGATCAAGTCATGTCACAGTAGCCCAACGTTAAACACCTGTGGTTTGGCCGCTATACCGTCTATATGTGATACATACAAGGATCCAGACCGTGTGAGGAAGGATACATCTCGAAGGCCGAACCTATTCGTCAAGATGTATTGAGCTAATTGCATTCATAACCCAATAGGTACTTGTAAACGCCTTTGCTGACTTTCCTGGGACGTGGCCTGAATCTCCTAGCCGATGCGGGTACCCGTGTTAAAATCTCTTTGAGGAGCAGATCAACTGAGTATAAGGGGCAGTTAGCAGCAGTAGAATGATGGTATGGTGCTAACCCAAATCCTCAGCCTGGCCAGTAGTATCTTCTACAAGTGATGGCGCCGGTGGCATTAAGCTATCTTTCTCGCTCAGTGATGATCCATCATTGGCGCCGGACGGATCACCTGGTGGAGCCTGATATAAGGGAAAAGGCTGGATGAAAAGGCCTGATCCCGTCAGTGTTGGTCAACTCACCGCCGTCCGGGGCACTGTCGCACCGTTCAGAGTTGCTTTAGCTTGCGCAGCAATGCCAGCAGCCAGTGTCGAAGCTGTGTCAGCACTAGACCCTACTGCAGCTCCTGAAGTTGTTGAATGGCATGCATAAGACAAACTCAGCATAAGGTTGTCTTACCCATACTCATAACGACTATATCAGAGCTATCTCGTGTTGAAACGTTCGGATCCGCCATCTGTATCTTCTTCACATTCGCAACCTATTTGGCATACTAAGTGATTGCTGTGTGATTATTAGAAGACCCTCACTCTGCTCTGTGGTTGGCTTATACACTTGGCCGTGGTATTCTGGACATTCACCTCGAAGACTCCAACGCCAAGAAGTCGGAGAATTGATCCGACTGTCTCCCCAGAAAGGACATCCCTACCAGCATATTCTCCCATGACTTCACGCATTCTTGGCCAACTCACCGCGGGAGACGAGCCGCCTTGGAAGAGTTTATGCTAGTGAAGTGGAAATTAGTGATGGCCCGATCGATATCAGCACCGAATGGCAGAGAGAACTCACTACTTCCAAGCGGGAGTATCTAAACCCACGCAAGGTCTTGAAATACATACCAGACAGTGCACTTTCACTGGTATGAAAAGTAGAAATCGCTGTTATGTTATTACTGACGTAAGAGCTTGAATCGCGGCATCTGTTTCCCTAGGACCCATCGAAAGATACTTCTTATAGTCATCCAATGCTCGTGAATTATGCCTGATATAGAATAATGGCGCATGTTCTCGAGAGTCTCAAGGAATACACCAAGCGCCTAGGATTGATATACCCTGCGCCTAGGAACCCTTTCATATCGAACTACTTCTGAATCTGCTTGTCGAGCCAACGTGATAGAACACTCTTCCCAGTGGTATGTAACACAAAAAACTCTCGATCAGCCTCATCGGCGTACTCCTTGCAGGCGGGTATCTACAAAACTTTCTGACCACATCTAGAATGCTGAACAAAATTTTCCAGCCAAGCTTTCCTGACGCTTGAAGTGAGCATGACTGATAAGAGCTTTGGACACTCTCATGAAGACTCGTCACGCCCGATGATTGCAACTTACGTTTGATGCCTCACGAATTGTAATAGCTAGTACGGTCATGAAATCCTCCTTTAGCGAAGCGTCTGGAATGTCCTGGAATAGCCCATATCAGCCTCGATACGAGTGTTGATATTACCTTATACAGTTTAAGTACGGGACTGTTAGCAGCATTAGTTAGAGAAATATTAACGTCGGTAGGATTCCGAGTATTCGAGGGAGCTCTGCGAAGCAAGGACAAGGTGGTTATTAAGCAAGCCACGAGGTAGACAGTACAACGATCAAGGGTGATGATACAACACGAGTTACACTATACACGTAACCGTTACTCACCGAATCCATTCCTCCAGTGAATCAATCATTCTATTAACCCGCTCAACCAAGACGCTATTCACCATAGGACAGCCATGGACCAACTCTTTACGATGCGAGTCCGAGGAGAGATGACCTGAATGACATCGTCCTATAAATATAGTAAAAAGTGATGAACATGACGAGGTAGAGCTGAGCTGTGAGTAATGACAATTAAACTGAGCCGGGCTCATAAAGATTCACACCACTCATCTTGGCCTATGATACTCTGATTACCATCCTTGACAATGAGATCCAGGAATCGCAGAACACCGGCTCTCAGTTCGGAATCGCTTCTTCCTCCAGTTGAAAGCGTTACTGTTTTAGCGTTATCGCCAGTTGGACGAGCCCCCAAGAGCAACTGCCCAACTCTTCCCATAGCAGGGCTGCATAACCATGATCTACCTTGTGCGAAATCACCTGGTTCATGGGATGCCTTCACAGAGTCCTTCAGTACATTACCTCCGATGATCTTAGCAACCCTAGCTCGATCATCGCTGATGCCGCCCGCCTCGTGTTCGGGTCTATCTCTGGAAGGCTATGGAAGCGAGAGGGATCCAAA